CTCCCTTGGTTCCTCCTTTGAAAGTTATTTCCTTGGCCGCCATTCTGATTCCTTTGGTAACCTTGAGTATTCAGTGGAGGCCGTGGATCATACCAAATTCCATTGACCTGGAATGGTTCAGCTTTATTGAGTGTAGGGCACTCATTAGTGTCATGCGGCTCCTTGCAATACTCACAGTTAAATATATCAACCTTGGATGTTGAGAGCTGCATCTTGTCCAGCTTGGCATTCAAATTGGCCAATTGCTGGGAAATCACTTTGTGCTCAGCTAGTGATGCATCATTATTCCCCAATTGTAAAATTCCTTTCTTGGGCTGAATAGATGGGAATGCTGCTGCCATAGACGCATTCTCATTCCTTGCCATTAAATCCAGCAGCTCTAAAGTCTCATCTGCTGTCTTCTTTCCTATGGTGCCACCAGCTGCACCATTGACAATCATTCTGCATTCTGGCGTCATCCCATTATAGAAGACTCTGACCTTCTTTGTATCTGGCAAGTCATTTTGTGGACACTTTCTGATCAGCTCCTGGTATCGAGTCCAGGCTGCACATAAAGTCTCTCCTGGTTGTTGGGTAAAATTGGTGATTTCATTCACCAACTTATTGTACTTTTCCATGGAAAAGTGTTCAGCAAAAAATTTTGCCGCCAAATCCTCCCATGTTCTGATGCTGTTGGGAGCTTGTCGATCCAACCATTTAAGAGCTCTCCCGGTCAATGCAAACGGGAACAATCGGAGTCTGATCGCATCGTCTGACACTCCGTTGTGTTTAGTTGTATCACAGATCCTTAAAAATCTGTCTATGAAGTCATGAGGATCTTCATAGTCCTCTCCACCAAACTGAGTTTTCTCAATCAAGGTGATGAGTGCTGGCTGGATGTCATAATTATTAGCAGCAATCGGTGGTTTGACAATACTCGAGTTTGGCCTTGTGAATTGAGGAGCCAAAACTGATTCCATCAGCTCAGCTGCTGGTGGATTTTCTTCTGCCATCTCTGTTTCTACTTCAAAGTGTGAAGTAGAATTTTCTGCTTCAGAATGTGAAGTAGAAGCCTCTGCTTGCCTCCTCTGCTTGGTATGTTGTCTTATCCTCTTTGCAGTCCTTTCTATCTCTGGATCGTAAATCAAAGTTGCAGGATCAACTGTACCACGCATAAACTAAAGCAAACAGATTAGTAACACAAAGATCCAAGCAAGAAAATCAAAAGTTATAAATAACTTGGCGTAGTCAATCCCCGGCAACGGCGCCAAAAACTTGTTGCGTAAAATCGGCAAGTGCACCGATCGTACCAAGTAATAAAGAGTGAGTAGAGTATCGTCTCCACGAGGATTGAGGCACCTAAGTTGTTATAACTATTCCTCTCTTGTTGGATTAATCAAAATAGGTTGAGAATGATTGTAGTTCATGAAACAAACTAAAATAATTAAAGTAAAAATGTAAATGATTCCAAAAGTGTTTTCAGAATGCAAGAACAAAAGATTAAGGATTGAGAAAATATTTGAGAAAATATTGCGGTAAAGAGAAACAAACACCTTTCCGATCCCCACCTTGCAACTTGGATTACGTTTACATTTACCTATTCAATTGATCGAACAATTCATCATCTTTTATATGAGTAGTTAAGCCCTAATCCCTTAGTGACTTTAACCTTGTTAACTCTATTAGAATCCTAATCCCTTGGAAATCCATTTTTGAGTTAACCCTTAGAATCAAAGAACCTTTAACGTTCGCTGTTCATGTAGCCTATCCCTAGTGCGTACATGAACAGTTATCTTATTTTTTTGTCAGGAATTAGAATTCCAACATCCCTGTTGTAACCCTAACCCTCGCAACCCTACTAGATTGATCAGTTCCAATAGAATTATAGAATGAAGAACAAGAAAAGATAAATGCAATTAAAATAGATAAACATAAATTTCAACCAAGGTACAAGGGGTTCACATCAAGGGTTGTGACCCTTACCACAATGATAAAACTAGCCAGACATGTTCATGTCTGACAAAATAACAATAAAAGAAAGTAGCATTTAAAACCTAGAAGAGAAAGGGAAGATGAAGATCTTCCGTCTGGATCGATCGAACCCTTGAATCTCCGAGAAGCTCCAAGGACTCTCTGCTTTATTTGTTGTTTTTTTCTCCTTGATTCTCCAAAAGTCCCTTCTTCTTATGTTTCTGATCCTTTTATTAGGTTTTGGGAAAACCTATTTCCCTTTGCACTCCAATTGGGCCTTATTTTAGCTGATTCGCACTTAAAAATATATCGCCCGCGCACGGGGCGCCAAGCCTGGCGCCCCAAACTTGGGAGAAACAGAAGCTGAATCTGTAAACGGCGCCCCGGGCGCCAACTTTGGAGCGTCGTGCGCCACCTCCCGTGCTTCGTGCGCGACCGAAACAGAAGCAAATCGTCGATTTGGCGCCCCGTGCGCCAAGTACCGCGCCCTGTGCGCCAGTTTGGCGCTCCGTGCGCCAACCGCCGCGCGTCGTGCGCCAGCGGGAAATTTGGTTTCTCCGTTTTTGCTCCTTTTTGCGGTGTTTCCTGCTATTTAAACATATAACTCGAGTGAGAACATGATTGAGAAGGAATAATCAATATTTCTTGCATTTAATGACTATTTTCACTCCTTTATGATTAATTCCTTGCTTCTTTCAAGTTAGAAAACATCATATGCTAGACGCACATCAGTATTCTCCAAAGAGGCAATGGTTGCCTCAAACCTTTCGGGAAAGAAAACGAGAGTCTTTTGCACTAGCCTATTATCAGAGAGGTTAGTGCCTAGAATTCTTGCTTGATTTGTAATATTTATCAGAATACTCTTTAATTGTCTCAGACTCCTTCATCTGCAGTCTCTCAAATTCTCTTATCAGATTCAGCCCATTCATGCTTCTGATCCTCTCATCCCCTTGATACTCAGCTTTGAGGAAGTCCCAAATAGCTTTGGCTGATTCACAAGCCATAATTCTGCTGAAAATGGCAGGTGAGACAGCAGCATATAAACAAGACTTTGCCTTTGCTTTCCTTATTATCCTCTCCTTGTGAAACTTGATATGATTGATTGTTGGATTTCCTGGAAGGGGAGCAACTTCATAATCTTCTTCTACAGCTTCCCAAAAATCGCAACCCTCTAGATAGGCTTGCATTCTCACTGCCCAGACTTAATAATTTTCTCCATCAAATGTTGGTGGAGCCATTGCTGAAAAACCACTTGATTCTCCCTCCATCAATTTCGCAAGTCACTCACAGTCCCTTAAGATCAAAAAGGCTCTTGATACCAATGTTGTTCTCTGCAGAAAAAAGAATGGGCAGTAGAAGCTATATTTTGCAAAGGTGTTTTATTATGAAAACTAAATAAACTTAAATACAAAACTGAACTCTCTCGTAAGTTGCCTACTAACTTATTGTTCCACAATATCAACAGCAAACTAACAGAGCAATACAAAATTAAAATGCAGTTAAACATTCCTTAAAATAAAGCTGACAAATTAAAAAGAAACAACTAATTAACTCCTAGAAAATAGGACAATAGTAACAGCCTTGATACACCAACAACAGCAACAATCGAGACTGGATTAGACACATGACAGTGTCTTGCAGGCCACAAATCTCGTCCAGCAGTGTAGCGAGATACTCCAGAGTGTTGACATGTGGAAAAGATACATCTATTCTTGTTGGACAGCCCAGCGAGATAGGCCAGGATGCTAATACGTGAAAAAAGGTACACCTATTCTTGCTGGGCAGCCCAACAAAATTACAGCATTTTGTAGATGTGACAGTCTCGCTTATTGGCGTGTCAAGAATATGACGTCGCATTTAGAAAAAGTTTCATTGGATCGTGAGATAGTGATAATTAATACTCAAAACAGTGACAAAAGGGTGAATGTCTCGTCCGGCTTCCTCCCTGATGTAGAAACAGAGCATATTGTAGGTCAATCAACCATTACTAATTTACTATAAAAATTTGCCTCGCTTTAGAGATATACCTTTTGGAAGATTGCTTTGATTTGAAGAGAATATTGTACTCGAAGCAATCAATTGACATTGAAAGGGAAATGACAAATATGACATGATTTCACTTTGATTCAGTAGTGAAGTTCTAAAGATTGTGTTTGGAATCATTACAAATGCATTTGATTTGATTTGTAAATCAAATCTCGTGTTTGAAAACTTAACAAAAATTAAAAATGAATTGATTTGTAAAACAGCAAGGATTACAATCTATTAATTTTAATAATCTTGACAAATGAGGGCAAAAGTATAAAAGAAGAAAATCAAATCAAATCAGTTCTATTGTTTATAAGTTCCAAATATAAGATTTGATTGCTGAATCAAATGAAATGAAATGAAATCAAATCATTCTCGTAAGATTCAATATTCATTTTGTCCTAGAACGGTATGTCTCTAAAATTTATATAGTAATAATTGTCACTGAATTTGACTAGAAAATAATATCCACTTCCATTTAAAAATCTGAAGTCAGAATTAACAGTAATTACGCGGTGATAATGATATCCTGTTTTAGTTTTACTTTTCGGTCAATCGACTATGTCTTTTGGAATAATTAGAGCTTAGTTTCGCCGATAATGCAGCACTAACGCAAGAGAGTGTGGAAGAGTTTCTCACGAACGTACAAGGATTTTGCATGTGAAACCGAAGTGAAACTTTCAAGCAGTTTCTTCGTAATGTTATTGACACTGCCAAGTCTATATTAAAATGTGTTAGTCTGTGACTTTGGTCTGGTATGTGCTTGAACTAAATCCAATATTATAATAAAGCTGCTAGCACAATATTTGTTCTCTTCGAGGAGGTTCCAAATTTGACACAACTTTTACTCTTTGAACTTAATTGTGCTATATTAATTGTAGTTGTGATTTTGAACTCATGTTTTAAACCTTGATTGTTTGATTATGTTTTGACTCCTGGGACATAATTGTGTAATATGTCCAAAAAAATTTGAAACTTAAAATCAGAATGAGGCTCTTTAACATCCAAACCAAAACCGAAAATAAAGACATAGGATTACATTATAGATGTCATGTTACAAACTTACAACACTTCATAGTCTTTGGTTATAGCTAAACACTTTGATAACAGAGCAACACTGCCCTGTGTAGTGGCAGTTTGATTCCTCCACTGCTTGCACTTGCTTGTATATACAGCAGAAAGTCAAAGTACTTCACTACTTGTGCTAGAGTGCCTTTATTTTTTATGTTTGCGTGGAACAGTATTTAGGGGTACACCACTTACAAGCATGTGTAAGGTTTACCTGAATTACATACGGACCTTATACATATTTGTAAGTAGTGTGACTATATATATAGAATATACATGTGCAGGAGCTTTTAGTACACCTAATCAATGTCAACAGAACCCGAACCTGAAGGCTTTATGCAATCATCTGATTGAGACTCTGAAAAGCCATAAGGAAATCCATTTGAGAATGATGCTGTGGTATAGGCTGGATTCAGTGGCCACTCATAGCATCCCATTTGTGTGTTATTGCTAGGTACATAGCTTGAAACCTCTACAGATTTGTCACCATAATAATCGTTCTGTTCATATGTTACTACCGATGCTGGATGATTGTTTGGATATTGCTCCACTGTTTGATCACCTATTGAGTTAAGTTCACATCAAGGTCACTTACTATGGTTGAATCCAAATAGTCTCACTTTTGTGTCAAATACAACATTTGAAGTTTTTAATCAACTTATGCAAAAGACCTTGCTTAATTGAAAATACCTTGGGTTAACAAAGCAATGTTATCATTCAAAACAGCATCAATTTCCTCCAAGGTATGCCATCTTGCATATGCTTCTCTCACCAATTTTTCTATATAGCTCTGCAAATGTAGACAAATTAAAAACACCCATTAAGATGAATTAAAGAACCAAAACGTAACATAATTATAGTATAATTCATAAATTAATGGAACAAGGCGAGTCTTGAATAGATGGTTCACTGTACCTTATTCATATGGCTTAGGTCTCTGCTTGGAAATATGTGTCCATCTATATCAGCTCTAATTAATCTGCATATTGGATTCAGAAAAATAGTAAAATGAGGTCCACGGTATATATAGATCTTGCAGCCCATGTCACAAGTTAGTGCATGCTTGATTGTCACTTCCCACATTTTGTCTGACATACCAATGCCTAAAATCTGGTTGCACAAACATTCAACAAGAAATAATTAATTCCAAATAATTATTTCAGAAATCAAAATTTAATATATTTTTTTTTGTGACACATTAAAAAAAATAAGATATAATTATAGATAGATACCTTTCTTAACCTACGGGGATCAATAACTGCTAACTTGAGAAAGTCTTGTACTGTTTTGATTCCCTCTGAGGACAATTTTTTGTGGAAAGCTCCATCTTTCCCAATCTTCTCTAGGCGCCACACATCATCATGAAGCATTGGTGGGTGGTGTTTTTTGTACACTTCATATGTATAAAAACAAAATTAACAATAAATAAAATGTAGATACTTAGCATATAATACGAATGATAAATTACATTCACTAAAACGGATATCATGAAATTTACTTAAGATCAAAAAAAATATTTACTCTAAAATAAAATACCACTAGGTTGACCTAGTTTCTTTGGAAAGTTGAAACCATTGACTATAGATTAATCCCCAACCAGCAAGTTGCCAAAAACAGAGTAGATATCGGTATAAAATACAATAACAAATAAAAATAAATGCTAGTGTGCGTCATTGTGGCATTAATAAGTTGGGATTAGCATGTTGTTTTTCTTGATTTCACACTAAATGGTTGCATTGGTGGGACCTTGAGCATCCATTTCCGTGCTAGATAAGATTCTTAGCTGTGTATTTGACCAACGATCACTTTCCAGTCATCATAAAAGAATGTACAAATAAAATAAAAGAACAAAAAAAAGGGTAGAAGTGGCTATAGCTTGCTCGAAAAGGTGAAAAGGATATACCCTTTATTGCTGGAACTTGGAGGAACGACAACCAATGTTTCCATTAATATAAAGTGTGACATTAATAAACGTGGAACAACAATCAACTTGATCTTGTATTCGTTCACACACAAATAAACTATTAGATAGATTTTTAGTAATGATATTTTTACATTTTTATATAAATTTTATATTTTCGAAATCTTTATATAGAAATACAACGCATCTTATTGGATATTGCTCTACAAGAACCAATCCCTATACAGATAGTGATGTAATGAGTTTTGATATGTCCATAATTTGATTTGCTACTTTGCACAATTTAGCTGCATGAGGATTGATAAATTAAAGTTATCATTAAAAGTTGTAATATATTTTATGGCTATACTATAATTTTATAAAATATAAAACAAATAAATAATATTTTTACTTTGAAAGAATTTAGTTTTTGAAAAAAATATAAACAATAGATTTACACATGTGCTAATAAAACTAAAAAATATCATTTACCTAACAATGAGAACTTACAAATAGCAATTTAAAACTTCCTATCTTAACGGCAGAATCAAATTGTTACTATAGATCCTAACCACCCTTTTTTTTTTTGGTAAACGATCCAAACCACCCTTATTACATCTGTATGAACGCTAAAAACGGTTCAATTATACTAGTTTACTTTATTTTATTTTATTTGTTTGTTTTCTTTCTTTAAATTATAACGTTAGAATGTTAGTTTTCACTAATTTTTATAACAAAAATTCTTTTCAAATTAGTTGTAGCACTTACTAACATTTTTAAATGGGAAAAGTATGATTTTTTCTTTATCACATATAGGTACCTCTGTGGTTTGCAAAAGGATATATTTTTTTATCATATATATCTCTGTAATTTTTTATTTTTTTTACAAATAACAGGGGCATAGGAAGCAAATCACAAGGCATTAATCAAAAGGGAAAAATATTTAACTACAGTTATTTTAGTTAAAATTATTATTATTTATTTAATATTAAATTAAAAAAAAAAACATTTCACTCCCTCCCACCATGATTTTGTTTCTTTCACTATAAAATACAATAATTTTGATTAAAATAACACAATTCCTCGTCCTTAAAGGACAAAAACTAATCTCTATCTAAAATATCATTTTAACCCGTTTTCTTTTCTTTTCTTTCTTTCTGACCATCTTGATTCCCATTAAGTCATGGCATGAAATTGGATTTAAGACAATAATAGGCATTCATTGATAAACATGATATCTGTCAATGTCTATGCTGTCATAGTTTTGACACACATATGAAGACTAAAAAATCTTGTTAACAAATGGTACTCCTAGTCAGTAAAAAGCCGTTTAGTAAGAAATTTTTCTTTTAAAAGGAGTAGACTTTCTTTTCTGATCAGTACTTGTCAACAACCTATAACAATTACACAAAAGGACACTTGTACATCAACTTTATTTTATTTTTTGGAACAACGCCAACCAAATATTTAAAATTTATTAACAAATCAACTCCGAATAAATTAAAATAAAACAACAGTAGCATATTTGGGTTAACTACAATTAATGTGAGACTCATGAGAGGAACATATATATATGCAATATTTAATGAAAAAAAAAATTCATAACAAGTTACTCAAGCACAATTCACATACGAGAAAATTTGTATGTTGATTACTAAACAATATACTTGCAAATAGCAGAAAATCTGCATCATAAAAGATTGATAATAATATACAAGGGGAGAATCTTTTTATTCTGGTATAAAATTAAAAAGACTTATTTCCTATAGAATTATGAATTCCAAAATAAATAAAAATTAACAGTTAAGATTAAGTAATAAAAAATTTGAAGCAAAATATCAAGTTGATAAAACTTACATTCTCCACGGTGATCCTTCACGGTAAATGCCTCGGTCATGGCTTCACGAATCCGAAGACCTTGATTATTCCCTGGACTCACCCTCACTGCAACTCTGAACTTCCTGCTACGTATCCAACTAGAGTTATCTGTGAACTCTATGTCACCAGTTGGTGCAATTCCATCCCTCATGGTAAGGTTCAATTCTCCTGCAATCAATGGTCTCTTACCAGTTCTCTCTTTCACTATGTGGTTATTGAATTGCTCACTTGTCCAATAATCCTCATTATCATTTGGTGGAAAATCTCCATCAAGAACCACAATCTCTAGCTTTATTGGATAAGGAACACTTGTTTGAACCATTTGGCCATCATCACTTTTGTTAACAAGAATTATGTTGATGGGGTTACCATCAATGTCAAGTATTCGGCTACTTGTGAAAATTGGGAGTGAAAGCCTTTTGTTGAATGAGAGTTGCAAGCTTGATTGTTGTTCCATTGCTTGGATTCTCATTGAAGGAGACCTAGTAATAGAGCGCGGACAGCGTTGTCTCATAGCTCTATCAACCTCTTCACTCACCTATTTAACAAAAAATAAAAATAAAAAATACATAAACTTTCATGACAAAACTAATACATCAAATGATCACAACATAAAATAATGCTAAATTTTTCAACAATTTGTAAAAAAAAAAATGCATGCGGAGACCAAACTAACCCAAATATACATATATTATCACATTATATACTAATCTTATGGCGAATCTTAATGACTTACCACTCTTCTAAGCAAAGGTTCCAAGCCTGATAAAAGGTTTTGCAAGTTTTTCGCCATAACCACTTCTCCTATTACCCTGTCAAGAAGGATTCAATAGATGGATTAGCTAGAACACTGAAAAGTTTGAATCATAAAAGCTTTGATGAATGGATCAATTAAACTTAAGAAGAAAGGTTATTAAATAAAGAGCAATAAGTAGATTCAAGTAATCAAATGAACCCTAGATGCTAGATATATATAGTATACATACGAAGCAAAAGAAGGTCTAGTAGCTCTCATTCGTTTGTCGTTTGGCTTATCAGGGTCTTGATCAGAATTATCAAAAAACCTTTTCGCAGCCATTTTTTCTAAAGAATTTGGAACCTGATGAGAGTATGAAGGGTGGTTGTATTGAGCAAGATAAATGGAGGGTAAGAGCTGAAGAGAGGTTATATATAACTTGCTTTTTATAGCCAAAAATATAATAGGCTATAGAATTTGTACATATTATAATAAACTTAAAGAAAGGCGGAAGCTTCTTCGAAAATTGGAGGATATATCCAAGCAGTTAGCACAAATGGCCTAGGATGTGTATCATACGATGAAAAGACTTTGGAGTCAAGAGTCAATACTCAAGAACCATAGAAAGTCAACCCAATCTCTATACCTTCTCTCAGAAAGCTACATGGCTAATATATATAGACATGTAGGACCCAGAAAATTTTGAATTCCTCTCTTTATGGATTGAATGGCATAAAAACAAACAAACATGTAGCATTCCCTACGAGATTCGTATCAAATTGTTCAAAGTAAAAAAGGTATGTATATTTGCAGGATTTTCATGAATTATTTAAGGATTTTAAGGATTTCAAGGAAATTAGAAATATGTATATGTTAAGTGATTTCTAATCTAACATTATTCGGTGATTGCCTTGTAACCAATGCTCAGAAATAAGAGATTTCTCGGATTTCATGAACATTTTTATTTTTAAGAATGTTTTTGTTCTTTTCATATTATTGAAAATTTTCTATATTTAGTTTTTTGTTATGTTTGTCTTTTATGGTTAGAGCACTTGGGATGATACCAGTTTGGTCAAACTACGTGTTTCTAGGAAGGATCGATCAAAAGCGTGTTAGGGGCCCTCAATTGTCCTGAGTTCTCCAAGGCTTTGAAAGTCATGTACGAAAACAAGAAACTCACTTGTAATTACTTGGAGCAGCAAATTAAATGATTCTTAGTTGTTTGTTTTGAAGATAAGTTTTATTGGGAATGAATCGAAATGCATGTGTTATTTAATATGATCATATTACGTAAGAGGATTGTTGCGACATCGGCCAGTGCATCGGTCGTACAAGTAATATAGTGTAAAAGAGTGGGTTGTCGTTCCCACCTCGAAGACTGATCACTAATCACTAACTTATCTATGCAATTAAATTTGGATCGATTTTTAAAATGAATTTGTTGAGAATATTAATTTAATTTATAAAACAGAATTTTTAAAGAAAATATTTTTAATTTTTAATATTAAGAAATCAAGAACTGAATTCAAGAATTAATAATGCAAAGAAAGTGGTTTTAACTTTAATTAATAACAAACGTAGCTAAGGATTCGATTTTTCCAATAGTTTCTTAACGAGTTTAACTTTCATGCAATTAAAGTTCGCAATCAATTATTGACAATTCTTTCTAATTTAAGTGAATCATCAATCCCTTGGTGATTTAAGTTCTTTATTACTTTATTCCAAGGCTCTAATCCCTTATGGTTTTTTTCTAAAGCAAGCTTTAAGGTCAAGAGTTAAGCGTCATAGAATTAATAAGACTATTCCTAGAACATACAAATTCTAGCAATTAACCAATTGGATTCAAGCAAACAATATTCCTATTGACATGCAAAAATTTACTGCTCATTCAAGATTGATCAGATCATAAACAAGATTATACATTTAAAATAGGTTAATTGCATAATTGAAATACGAATAATAATTACATCAAAACTTAAACAGCGTTAAAGAATCCATTGATTTCGTCTCGCCCTAACTACATAAAGAAACTTAGCCTTGCATGTTCAATGAAACTAAATTAAAAAGATGAAAGAAAACAGTAATGGTTCATATAGACTTAGCGGGAAATTTAAGCGGTGATTCTTTCTTTCTTGTTATCTTCTTCCTTCTCCTATATAATCGTTTCTAGAAGTGCTTCTCTGCCTCCTCTTGAATCTCTGCCATCTTCCAAATCAATGTCACAACCTTCTTCTTGTCTTTTTAAAGAAATAAAAGCTGGGCTTTTTAATATTTTGATCAGCTCGCTTAAGCGAGCTACTCAATGAGCAAATTTAATTTCTCGCTTGCATTGCTTGCTGAAGCGAGCTGCAGAGCGAAGAAAAATGTGTCACAAGAACGTCCTCGCTGAGCTTGCTCGTTCAAGAGAGCAAGCCAGCCAGCAAGAATTAATTTTTATTAATTCGTTATTTTCTTGATCTTGATCTTTGCAACTGCCTTATCCATGAGAATTCGTGATTTATTCTCTTAAACCTGAAACAATATTAAAAGGGATCAGAAGTATCTCTAATTGTTAAAATCTTTATAATTAATCATTATTTAACTTAATTTTGATATTAAAAAACATAGTGCACTGCATATAACTTTACTACCTTGACTGTAAAAATGTTTTTTTCTTTTATTTTTCATTAAGAATAGCTTGAACTTGAAGTCCTATTTTGAACGTTGAGAAGTGGTTGAACTTTTAATTCGATGTAACATAATGGTTGCAAGCCATTCAGGTACGGCACATGCATCATTAGAATATATTTTTTTAATTCATTAAAAAATTTATAATCAATATTCAAGTTATCAGTTATGCATCATTTGGTAATGCCGGAATTTTTTAATCATACGTAAACGACGAACATATTTATTGATTCCTAAAACCCGAATTAGTTGAATGTCAAATATTATAAAACATTTTTCTGGTTTAACTCATATGTAATCATTTTTGTTATCTGGTTGTTATAAACAATTAGATTCGTATGGATTTTGTTGGTTTTTTAGTTCTTGTGAAGGGTTTTTCATGATGGGGAGATTAACCAATAGTGTTTGTGTTGAAATGTCTCTTTAGTTTTATGTGTAAGAGACAATTGTCTTTTAGTTTTCTTATGTCAGTCATGAAATTAAATAATCATGATGTTTAATGAGGGTGTTATGAGTAGTTGATGAGGCTTTTATTAGTGGTATTATGAGATTTTTATCAAATAGTAGTGTAATGAGGCTCTGGATTAGCTAGCATTATAATGAGATTCTTCATTAGTACTTTCAATTTTTTGTTTTGGCTGTAATAGGCTTGGTGTATTGGAAAAAAATGAAGTATTCCCTTTTCAGTTTTTTTGTACTGTGTGTCAATTTTAGAGTATCAATCTGTCAAAACAATGATGCCATATTATGAATATTTCTGCCTGTATATTCTTCCTCTACTAGGGTAATTATATACATAAATGAAGACTCTAGGTCCATTACAAATTAATTGTCAATCAGCTATGAATAAGGAAATGAAATAACTTGTTACTATTTCTATTTAATACAAAACTCCTATGATTATGTCAATCAACTGCAAATAAAAAAATTAATCTATTTAATACAAATCTCCTATGATTATGTAATTGTGTAATCAATGATTAAAATTCCAACAACTGTACAACTCAGCAAATATTATCGCATTTCAACACTCCCCCTCAAGTCGGTGCATAGATATCAATTATGTCCAACTTGCTAATTGCTTCTTCAAACACTTTTCCTGATACAGCCTTTGTCAAGATGTCGGCTAACTGATCTTCAGATATTTGATGTAGAGAAATTAAATAATTTTTTGATCTAGCTTTTCCTTGATAAAATGCTTATCCACTTTTACATGCTTGGTTCTATCATGTTGAACTGGATTATGGACAATTTCAATAGCAGCTTTATTATCACAATGTAACTCCATAGGTTGATTGTAGCAGATTTCTAAGTCTTGTAGGATGCTCTTAATCCACAATAATTCACACACTCCATGTTCCATTCCTCTAAACTCTGCTTCTGCACTCGATCTAGCCATAACTTTCTGCTTCTTACTCTTCCAAGTAACTAGATTTCCTTCAACAAAAGTAAAATATCCTGAAGTTGACTGTCTGGTAGTTTTAACTCCAGCCCAATCTGAATCTGTGTAGCCTTTAATTTTGGGACTATTATTTTTTGAGTAAAGCAGACCTTTCCCTGGACACCCTTTTAAATACCTCAATATTCGATACATAGCAGCCATGTGATCCTTACTTGGGTTGTGCACAAATCTGCTCACAACACTAACTGCATAAGCAATGTCTGGCCTAGTATGTGATAAATAAATTAGCCTCCCTACTAGCCTTTGATATCCGCAAACATAATTCTGCACTTGATCATGATATAAAACCCAATACATGATTCATTTCAATTGGTGTTTCTGCTAGTTTATATGTTGTCATTCCTGTTTCTGCAAGTAGATCTAAAATGTACTTTTTGTGACAAAAAAATTCTCTGATTTGATCTAGCAATTTCAATTCCAAGAAAGTACTTTAATGATCTAGATCTTTCATTTCAAACTCATTTGCTAAATGTCTTTCCAATAACTCCATTTCAAATAAATCTTCACCAGTCAAAATCATATCATCAACATACACTATTAACACTGTTACCTTTCCTCCATTATGTTTTATGAATAGGGTGTGGTCTGCATTACTTTGTTTGTATCCAAACTTCTTCATGACTAGAGAGAACCTGCCAAACCAAGCTCTAGGTGATTGCTTGAGGCCGTATAGTGCTTTTTTTAATCTACACACTTCATTTCCCTTCAATTTGGCATGTTTGGCGCCTGGTGGAATTTCCATATATACTTCTTCTTCTAAGTCTCCATGTAAAAATGCATTCTTTACATCAAATTGCTTGAGTGACCAGTCCCTGTTAGCTGCTATAGAAATCAGAATACGAATTGTGTTCAGTTTTGCTACTGGTGCAAATGTATCTTGGTAATCAACCCCATATTTTTGTGTGTATCCCTTAGCAAATAATCTGGCTTTATATCTGTCAAGGTTGCCATCTGCTTTAAGCTTCACAGTAAACACCCATTTGCATCCAATTGGTTTCTTCCCGGTTGGTAAAGGAACCAGGTCCCACGTTGGGTTTTTTTGTAAGGCCTTCATTTCTACATTCATGGCTTCCTTCCAATTTGGATCATCCAAAGCATCCTGCACATTGTTAGGAACAAATATACTAGACAATTGATTAACAGATGCAATATATGATTCTGACAACCTATGATTGGACATGTAGTTATCGATAGGGTATTTGACCTTAGAGTTTGGATTTGGTTAATAAAGTTGTTTTGGTACACCTTTATTTGGTCTTTGTGACACTCTA